GTCAAGGTGGTGTGTCAAGGTGGTGTGTCAAGGTGGTGTGTCAAAATTCTGCGCAACAATTGCAAGATGCAGAAGTCCTGCGGCATACTTCATATATATTGTCCACAACGACGTAATGAAAGACTCAATAAATTAACGTTGTTGATTTGACGCCAAGTTATCGTCTCTGCCGAGACCTGAGACATTGACAAGGTTTAGGTGCAGTGTTTCTAACCTGAGCCCGACTGACAAGGCTTAGGCTTATGTGCGATATCCTTAACCTTAGTCTAATTGACAAGGGTGCAGTATGCCTATAACCCTGGATCTGATTGACAAGGTTTAGGTGCTGTATTCCTAACCTTGAATGTGAGGCAAGGATGCCACCTGTCAGGCGTCTCATTCTTATTAAATTATAATATTAGAGAAACTGTTATGAAGACGCAATATTCGTCAGACGCGGTAGACATTGATGGAATGGGAGACAGCGAATTATTATACAACATCACGTGAGCGAAGTCCCTCCCACGAGTGGGCGGAAGTACCATAGGTTTAAGTAATAAAAGTACCGGTGTGGGCACTCAAGTAAGATCGGCTCAGTACAGCTGCCAAGACCGCAGTAATGCGTAGTGTTCACTGCAATGGGAGTGAGTCGGCCGGACGGTCGTAGGTGATTGCTGTTCCACCATCAGAATCGTTCCTATTCGACAATTTTGTTACTTATACCACCCCGTATCAGGTGTAAGATAAAGGGCGTCCTTGCTTATCCTTCCAAGTAGACGAAGAATCTTGTCTCAGCTTAATTGTCTTCTTTATATTTTAATCAGGGTGGCAGCTTAACATTGCCGTGGGAAGTAGCTGTTTGTTATTGCCTCCTGACTAACCCATTGACCAATCGTGAATAGCGTTATTGCCTTGACTTGCATCAGTTTTGATTCCACAATTTTTACTTGCCTTATAATTAGAGTAACCTAAAAAGATAACTCATCCATCTTCTAAATTTTATACTAAAAAATGCAGCTAATTAACTCATCACATTTCATATGATAACTGTATCTCACATTTGCCCAGTATGGTAGCCCCATTGCCATTGTAGAACCGTCAATCCAGCGCCATTGCCCTTCCAATGCCCTATCGGAGCCACCGATCCAATATCCATCAGGGCTGTTGCCTTCAAATGTGAAAACACATGAAAATATAACAAAAAAATGGAATTGAAACACCACATAAAAACAACTATCAATTTAGCTCGGCGTTGCCTGGGATCGATAAACAATCCTTGCAATTTTAGACTAGTTACCCCGGCTCCCGTCAGTAATAGTATCACTAATGAACGCAAATTAACAACGAACCTGCTAAAATTCACAATACACATTTCAGATGAAACATCCAGCTAACATTTCCTGTATATATTTTAATATACATATTTTTTTAAATATTTTTCCTGTATATATATTTTTTTCCAAGTATTTATGATTGTGTTCGAAGCTTGGCAAAGCAGTATACAGGGGCTGTTGGGGCGAGTATCCAGGATGCATATCGTGTCACGATATTCCTTTGGCCTGAAAATGTGTTTCTTAGTGGGTGAATAGCGAGGCATCGATAAAATGGAAGGGATGGATGGTGGGGCTAAAAGTGACAAGTGAGTTCTAAATTGGTATTGTTATAGTCTTGAAATAATTAATACAACCAATTCGCAGTCAATTATTTCATAATTGAAATATATATTTTTTCCACGAAAACAGATGATAAAAAAGGTTCCGTTCTAAATGATATAGATTATAATTAGAAGGTTCGAGGTATATCAAACTGGTTTGAGTTTTATTCTCATCACCAGTAGAGGAAGAGATATGCGCGGTCAATCTTAATCTATTTGTACAGTGATTACATTATCTTTACATTGTTGAGTAGTGCGCTAGTGAATCATGGGATGCAACACAGCTACATATGTATAGGTTCAAGAAGTGTAGAGCTCCTCTGAGTTGTATCTCATGAGAATGTGCATTGCTTTATCAGAATGAAGTTGGTCTGAAAAAATTCAAAGTCTTAGGTAAAATACTTTCAGGCAAAACGCAGAAATAAATTTTATGGATGTTTACCTTGATCGTTGAGGAAGGAGGTAACCTTGCTGTACTGGTAGCAGTCATCTAGAATTACCAGATCTCCTCCAGTCACTCCACACGAGGTGCGCGCCTCGCTCCAGCTACTATAATCGGTCAGAAGTAAGTGAATGCATTGTGTGCCCACCAAGATGTACGGAGTGGCACATAAACCTGCCGGTAGAACGAAGAGTTCTTGGTGTGTCGAACAAAATGTAAATCCGACAAAATGATTGGATAATCGTGGTTATAAATAGAAAAATAAATTTTGCAGGCATTATATAGATTTTTAACGATAACTTTTCCAACTATGGAGGTTATGCCAATTACTATGTTATAAATAATACCGTTAAGTCGAATGAAGAATTTCTTGACGTTAGCATTTGTAGACTTGTTCTATTAACTAAAATAAATATTGAAAACAATTAGTTAAAACAATCTTATTCCTAACACTGGCATGAAACCAGCATCTATAATCATTTATAAACTAAAATGTGCCAGCCGCTTCAGGATAACTATTTGTTCTTTCTCAAAAAGACACTGTTTGAGAAAAGCACTCACCATCCGTTGGAGTTCTTGAGCACACAGCGTAAATGAGTAAATGACGTAGTCTGATGAGGTACATCAAGGAGACACTGTTTTGAGAAAAGCACTCACCATCCGTTGGAGTTCTTGAGCACACAGCGTAAATGACGTAGTCTGATGAGGTACATCAAGGAGACACTGTTTTGAGAAAAGCACTCATCACCATCCGTTGGAGTTCTTGAGCACACAGCGTANAACAAACTTCTTGGACTAATCAGACGCTCATACGAGTTCCTAGATGCAGAAGCGATGAAGCCGTTGTTTGTTGCTGTCATGCGCCCGAATCTAGAGTTTGGAAACGTTGTGTGGTCACCGAGATTTGAAAAGGACAGAAATTTAATAGAGAATGTTCAAAGACGTGCAACAAGGATAATTCCAGGCTTGAAGGGCAAGTCCTGTGAAGAAAGGTTGAAGATTCGGAAGCTTCCAAGCCTCAGTTGACGACGTATGCGTGGGGACCTCATTGAAGTATACAAGTATACTCATGGTTTATACAAGGTCCCAGAAGGCTTGTGGGGACCTCATTGAAGTATACAAGTATACTCATGGTTTATACAAGATCCCCGAAGGAGAACTAGAATTTGAAACAAGAACCAACACTGCAGGGGCTACGGCTATTAACTAAAAAAACTGCGCTGCGACTTCTCCACGCTACAAAATTTCTTCTCGCTTCGAATCACCGACATGTGGAACAGCCTCCCCGATGACATCGTTGGCGCTCCAAGTATATGAACGCGTTCAAGAACGGACTAGATAAAGCTTTGGAAAAATATATGTTCAGATTTGAAATTTCAAGCACCATATCGAACCCGGTGGAAGTCTAGTAGCTACTTCAAACTGTCGTCAGTCAAGAAAAGATCCTGTCAAATGAGACGATTGTAGATCTTCTGTGAACAATTAAGGCGCGAAAAGGAAAAGAATCGGCGACAGGCCACATCAGGCCTACACTTTAGCGCCGCGATTAATATGTTATGTTATTGCATTTAAATTCATCACACTATCGATGCCGATTGGGATATCATAGAACAGGGGCTGAACACGTGAGTGTCTAGTGAAGCTTCGAAGGTTACTAATGCAATACCCAGTTTCTATTGATTGAAGGTTGATATTAATGTTAATATTGAAGGTTGATATTGAAAATTGATATTGTTAAAAATAAGAAAAATATTGACTTAAAATATGCTACTTCATTCAGTCAAATTACACAGTGCCTTTTTATATGAAGGAGGTCTTGATGAGAAAGTTGAGAAAGACCTATTTAATTTAACATTGGAGTAATTATTAGGTTGAATTCTCCATGACGTAATAATCTCACATCCATCGTCAACATAAGTAGCAACATCAGTGAAGGAAGCGCAGTCTGGCAGCACGGGCAGCCTGCCGAAGTTCTGGTAGCAGTAAGTGACCGCGCCGTCGTGCGTGAGGTAACCACCAGCCAAGCGGTGGATGCCCTTGGACCCAACGACCTCGTAGCCAGCGGGGCACTCGATTGCTGCTGCGCCTGTCATATTGAACGAGAAATTCGATATCACTATAAATACCTAATTTTCCGGGAAATTAGGCGGATTGATTTAGAATTGTATGAACGATACAGTTTTATATTTTATGAAAGCTAAAAAGAAAACACACGAAAAATTCACAAGCAAAGAAAAGAATAAATTCTTCCAGGTAAAAAAATGAATTGCTAAATAGACTCTAAAATTGCTTAGACATGTACGAAAAGAGCTTGATCAAGATTTAATAAGAGCAGAAGAAAATTTTGTTCTCCAATATAATTTCAATAAGTTGAACCATTTAAATTTGACGTACCTCAGCAAATATAAATTCTCACGAGCTTGTACAGGTGCCAAAAGAAGCAATTTTTTGAAATACTAGTACGATTTTTCCATATTGTCTGCTAATGATCAATTAAGAAATATTAACCAATGTTCCAAACTCTTTAATCGTCTAAATTTCTCGCTTGTCCATGTACATTGTTCTTTTTTTCTCAAATTTGCTATGAATATTAATCAGAAGTGGACGCCAAGAAACTGAATAATCTTTTCACAGCTTCGTTAGTTGAGCCCAATAAAGTGTCAGTATTCGTTTAATTGCAATAACAAACCGAAAAAACGAAACATGCCACCAAAATTGTCACATCTTCGTCACAGAAAAATCCTAGCAACATAGTTAACGCCACGTCAAATGGAAACATACAACAGTGAAGCAATAACTCAAAGATATACGCATAATGCAAGGGAGTACGTCCCAGGGCACGTAACATGACTATATGAAGGTTCGCATTATATAGGAATGCGTGATACTCATTGCCTATGTGGACGATGCTCACTTGCGACAAGTAACAGCAGACAGACGACGAAGACGGTACTCACCTGCGGCGAACAGAAGCAGACAGAAGACTTTGTTAAGACACATAATTATGAATTTGCAAGTCGCGTAACCTGCGTACGAGTTCTACCGGACTGCCCGGCTTGCGAGGGAATATTTTTTATTTACTGACTTTGAGATAACGCGTTTTTGTGAGACTGTCTCGGGCATACTGAGAGTGAGCCTGATACCCTGCTGTATTTATGGAACATTGATCGCCGTATATAATCTATTAATTACACTGCATGTCACAAGGTTTTCACATGGCACGAGATATTAAGTCAGATTGCCTTTCCCAGAACATATTCACACCGTGAGAAGTTGCTGTGATATTCGAGATATTCGAGAAACAGCCGCTGAAAGATACTTCGTTTATCCATAACAAACGATGGTTCCGAGCAGAGCAAAGGCTACAGGAAAATGCTTGATGAATATCGAAGTTTCATAATGTGAACATTACATCAATTTTAACAGCGGTTAGATTCGAAATATTTTTTCTTGCGTGTTTTAACGAATCATCACTCGATGATTTTGAAATGTTAGGTGTAAAATGCCTTCATCACTTCGTGTCACTATTTTTCTGCAGCCTAATGTTTAATATTTTTCGTAGGAAAGACATAGACGCCACTTAATTAGAAATGTTAACGTAAACTCAAAATAATTATCTCACGTTTAAGAAAATTTCATTCTCGAAGTCAGCGATAGAAAACCGGATTTTTACTCGTATCCTTCTGCGTAAAGAGGATACTATTTTGGCAAGCAAATTACCCGGAAAGCACAGATTCCAAGCTGGGCGTGTTAATAATGAGAAAGAAGCTCAACGCCTACGCGCTCCAACCAACAGGTATAAACGTGTACACGTGTACCTGCTGCGCTTTAGAGATGCCGGGACGCTGTCGACTACGTCAACATGGCTTTAGATGAATCGTCAACGTGGCTTTAGCTAAATGCGTCAACTTAAGAATAATATAAATATTATGAAACACACATAATCGAACCATATAATATATACATCATGATGCAAATAATTAGTCTCAATTGATCGCAATATTTCAAGCACAGCAAGTTGGTGCATGCAAAAAATTTGCAATACATTTACGCAATATATTAAGTGAACATGAAAAATTTGATTATCCAAAATTAGGGAAAACTTTATTTTTCGCAACAAAATTTTCCACTGCTCCTCGGACAATTTATATCAGGAGCAGTCCGAATCGCGACACAAGCCCAGTTGCTTCACTTAAGCATGAAAAATTTGCGAACCCCATACAGCTTTCAGTTTTATTCGTACCTACTGAATTCACGCTAAATTTACTTGAATCAAAATCTTACAAGCCAAGCACGAAGAACGAAATCATGGTTTCGTCTGGATCTCAAATGAACCGCAACCAATAAGTTCTTTCTACCTTGGGTAAATCACAGTGGCAAATTCATTCGTGCACTGTGTAGTTTATGCAAACGGTTAATGGTGGCTTACAAGAGATTTGCCTGCATGCAATGCACCATCGATGATTCAGATCCTATAAATCATCGATGATTCATTGATGACTGCCACCTTTACTCGCCACCCTCTCGATCTATTGGCGTTTTATTGTCGATTTTTGGCAGATCTGGCCATCCACCGTTACGCCAGCAGTAATCAACCATCGCCACCTATAATCATCGATGCGCCACCCTTAATTTTTACTTGGGTACCAATAATGAGTTCACTTTTTTTGTTCGAAACGGAATCCGAGTTAATGTAAAAACATTTTAAACTTTTTGTGCACTTTCACTTTGATGCATGCGTTTACTTCTTACATTATTTACAGGCTTGTATCTGAGGACATGACTTCTTACTTGTCTTCCAGCACCCGCTGACTGACCGTGTGCGGTCAGTGTAGTGACATCGTGAGCGATGTTGACCTGAGTTTCCGTGCTTTTCCGTCTGATTCTCTCCTGTCATTTCTTGCGAAAAATTGCGCTCTCTAAAGAACTCTGGGAATTCACTTAGTTTTCTCGCAACCTTAAGTACGTGTCCGACCTGGGCTGTATACTGTACAGTCACCATCAGCGGTCTACAGGTGGTAGCGTTTTTCGATCGCAGCCTCTTGCATGCCGTTATATCCACAACGACGTAAAGTGTCCCTACACAACAATCACTAATAAACGCTGTGCCATAAGTAACTCTCTCACTCGTCTCCGAAGCATTGCTTTTAGGAACGCCAAACCAAACAAGGTTACGTTTTCGTTTCTCTCCATCCAGCAACTCTGTCAAAAATAGTATAGTTTTAATGTCCTCGTTAAAATTTAACTTTAAAATTTCGTATACTTTGTTAATAGCCTAAAGCTAAAACAAGTAATAACAATTTTAGCGCCGGCGGTCAATGTTGAAAATAGGGTAGTTTTAAGATAATATGCGAGACATGTGTTTAAGAATTCTTTCGTATCTTAAAACCACACCTAGCCTTAAAACTATAATTTTCGGGTCCATATTCGTAGCAAAAATTTAGCATTAAATTTATATAAACTGGCTGGCACCACTCCTAGCGATTTTGGGTTATTGCGGGCTCACGGTTTCGGGATTCCCTTTAGAACGTTCCAAACTGCAACGCATACGGCTAATTGCTAGCAGTCTTGTCCAGTAGCCCATCCAGATACCGGCCCGTATGCTAAATGGGGTACTAGCACTACGAAGTAGCACTACGCACTACAAGCCGTAGTGCGGTACTAGTGCGACATGGAACACTACGGTTGGCATGCTAAATAGGGCACTAGCACTTTGAAGTAGCACTACGCACTACAAGCCATAGTGCGGCATGGAACACTACGGTTGGTATGCTAAATAGGGCCAAAAGCATAACGCGCACTACAAAAATCTGAAGTGTCCTACACACCGTACTTCACGACGACACTATCGGTATATTTAACCTTGTTTACTCCGTCAGCTATGGATCTGTTTGGCTTACAGCAAAGGCATCATCGCGTAAAAACCTCAGGAGCAACATGCCATGAATATAAAAAAGTGTACCGCTTCAGTGAACAACATGTTATTCTTATGGCTGACATTTTCCTTGGCGAAACAGTTGAACAGCGTAGAAGAAAAAAATACTTTTCTTGTTTTTGATACCATGTTTTGAATTTTCTTTTTTGTTTTTTTTTTCTGGAGTCATTTTGAATTCTTCTGCAAGAACTTTCCATGCTTCTCTCTCTTGTTCGATTTCTTTGGTAAGCGTGGACTTTAAATGTATGATGGGAAAGGTGCGCAGACGCATTGCGAATTTCAGCTCACCATCACAATTTTCATTAGTACCATTACCATCACAATTAGACATTTTACATCAATCTTCTGCAAAGAATGAGAATTACTTAGGGAATAATTAATTATTTGAGCACTTTACAACCATTCTTCAATAGACTCAAGCGTAGTGCGGCACTATAAAGTACTCTAACAGCGAAGTAGCACTTCAAAGTCTTTCTGCATACGAATCAGTAGTGCGACACTAAACATTGTAGAGCTACTTCGAAGTGCTTAGTGTCTGTGACGTATTTAGCATACCAACAGGACACTTCGTAGTGCATAGTGCTACTTCGTAGTGCTAGTGCCCTATTTAGCATACGGGCCACCATCTCTGCCGCGACGTCAGTTTTCGCGTTGCGTCTCTATCTTCGACGGCTGTGATGGAAATGTGGCTGCACACTTATCGTCGTGTGAGGCCTGCCGTCATGACGGGCTAAGAATTCATCTCCTGGCATGACCTCCCGAGCTCCGGTCGGAACACCCGCCATCTTCCACCTGTCACTGCATCAGCTTCTTATGAAACGTGAGTCCGCGGTACCACGAGGTCGTGCGAGTGAGCGCCAGACTGTTTCTGAAGCTGACTTAGCCTTAACTCTTCCCCTTGCCTCAACTATAATAAAGGTGCTGCCGTGCAAGTGAGATATTTCTCTAATTTTATTAACAGATATAACTTGAAATTAATTTATAGATAAATTCATGCCGGCGTGCAATTGATTCTTGATAGATAAAGGGGCTGTGCCCTGAATGGATAATTAATTTATTTCTCTAATTGATAATTACAAAAATTTACCAAATATTATGTAAGTGATAGATTAATGATGATTAAGAAATAAATCTGAATATAATTGTTTCCTGTAGATT